ATTTTAATATAGAATGAAATAAAAATAATTTTATCAAATGATATAAACAAAAAAGGCCATGAAGTTAAAATTCTACGTCAAATTTATTATCCTAAGTAGATATAGGTAATTTATTTCTTCATACAGCTAATATGAACTATATTATTAACATATTATGGATACAGTATATTTTATATCAGTTGAAATCGAATGCGTACGTGTAAAACACCTAAATATTTCATCATTTCCTGGTACAAACCTTATAACTATGTATTATATTTCTGACGTTGTTGATGTATTTATATATGTATTTGTTTCATATTTAAAGTTACCTATACCATTAATTGAGATAAAATATACTTGTCTGTGTTATTATAAAGTATTTAAGATAATTCAGTACTATTAATATGAGTAAAATAAATATATCAATTAGTTTTTTTATCCAGAATATTATATCTAAAACTTAACCTTATATCTGAACTACGTATAAGAACGTTACTCATTAATCATTATTATCTATCAATTATATTATGTATGTATGCTCTACGCAATATAATATTAGGTGTATTTACTTTTTTTTAATTCCTACTAAATCATGATTATATATCGGATACATTATAGGTAATCGTTTTTATTGAAGCATAAAATTCCAACCTATTATCATTTATATTTCTATGTAATAAATTTAGTTGTAGTATCCAATGTTATCTAGTAATGACCATAATATGTGAATATGTGATTTTAATGTTGAGCATTCTACGCCACGCCGGTCGGTATAATTATAATAGCTACGTGGAACTCATAATATGCACCTACTGTTATTTTAAAAATTAATTGATCCAATAAGACTATAAAGAGCCAACAATTAAAAAATAACTATATTATGTACAATAGTATAAGGTATAACGATAAGTTATTATTTATTCTTGAGGATTGAAAAYAAATTATATTCTAATTTTTAACGCTTTCGTTTTCTTCATTTTTTTGTCCAACGGTTTAACATTAAGGTTTAACTTAGTCATGTGTTGCAAAAAGAGTATCAAAACGATTAGAAGTAAATCTAATTCAGTAAATTTTGATATTTTATTGTTATTCAAAAATTAATAATAGTAGGTATTTCAAATGTTTACCTAATAATTCAACTAAAAAATGTTTGGTTTTGTTTTTGATTCTTTTTGAGCTATTTATTTGCATGAGAAATTTTTGATTTTTTTTCAATGTTTGTCGATGCATCATTTTTACTCAGTCAATAAGTTTTTATTTTTTGCTATTTAAACATCTTAAAGATACATGGCATGATTTTTTTTT